AGGGCTCTGTGGGTGAGTCAGCAAGTGAAGACAGAAAATAACTTTTCCCCAGCTGTGCCGGGCTATTCTTTCTGCTTTTCAGTCCCCTCACTGCCCCCCTCCCGTTCATTCATCTCCATTTCGGAGAACTGTAGCCTAGAACCCAGGAAACCTTGGAGCAGTGTGCCTGAGCCGCTTTTGCTGCCTGTTTCTTTTCTGTAGATTTAATTTCCTGTCTAATACTGACCCCAAGTGTTTGGGATCTGGGATATTTAAAGAGAACAGAGAGCTTTCAACTTAGCCCTCAGGTAGGGGCCTGTGCCTATTCCTTTTTCATGTCCTTGTGTTGACAAGGTACGTAGCAGAATTTGCAGACTTGGAATCCGTCAGGGCCATGCCATGAGCACTTCCACTATGCCCTTGGACTTGCAGTCTCTGGGCTGTCAACTATGCACCTTAGCACGTGAACCACCCTAGCCCCCTCAATTGCCTGCTTAACTCTCCAAGGTGACAGGCTCCCTAGAAAGACCATCAGTAGAGTCACTTAGAGTGCCAGTGAGAGCACTGTACCCATAAACTGTTAACAAACAACAGCTGCTGTTACTGCAGATTCCCCCACTTTCCATTCTATGCAAAGATAGGGAGGTTTGCTGAAATTTCCATTGCACAGGCAATCCTTTCCCACCCACCCCCTTTTGGTTTCAGTGTAAATCCATCCAGGTCATTCCAGCTCCCTGCTTATCTGTTCTAACTCTGTAAAAAAAGGAGAAAGAGGAAGAGACGCAAGAAGGGGAATAACAAGAGAAATTCACATATAGGTACTCCAACAATGGGGGCCATAAGTATAGTTAGATGGATAGAAGCATTTGGGTAACTCCTTGACCTGATGCAATTTAAACCATAAACCCTTGGAACAAAGGTTTGGGGAAAAATGCAAGCTGGGTGTTTGTCTGACTTCCTTTGCCTGAGCAGAAGCACCTACTGTATTCATTTGGAACAGAAGTTCTGTGCACCTCTGATTTCCAGTGCTTTCTAATAGCACTGCTCATCCTCACAGCCCTGTTCTGTGTGATCAAATAGATTCCTGAAGCAATGATAATGATTTGCAGAGGCTCTCTGGGACACTTTCTGCTAAGAGAGATTTACTTACGTTTCATGAAATGATTTAAAATAAGCATTGTATGAAGTAATTAAACCAGTTTAGAGGGTATAAAACTGGGGCTGGCTCATTTTGCCCCAACTGTGTTTAGTCAATGTTCAGAAAGTAATACACTATATACATGTCAGACTTGCTTATAAAACCAAGTCCTTATGCTGAGTACTGGAATGTCTGCTAAATAGTTACTGATGCCAAGCACCTGGACACAAGCAGAAGCCTGGTATCTTTACATGTCTTGACACATGCTCTGGGGTGGGGGACACTTTAATTAAAGTGGCTCTCAGGAGCCTCTCTGATTTAAAGTAGCCTCAGTGTCTTGTGTATTCAGTGTCCCACACTTCAAAATGGCAGTGGAGATACTTTGGATAGGGACAGACACTCAAAAAGTCTGAGCCTGAATTGATTCTATATTTGCAGGTTAGTCTGACCTGCCTAGGTTGAACCAGTTTCCAACTGTTTAAGCATTCCCTCCGGACTGAGGAAATGCCGACACACGTCTGCAGTGGCTCAAGCAAGAAGTTGGGGGGTGTTAGAGCAGCCCTCCCTTCCCCTGCACAATGCTGAGCTGAAGGGGCCCTGGCCAGGCTCTGCCAGGATGCTCTGATTAGGGAGGGATGTAAACCCCAACCCTGCCTGCTCAGTCTCAGGCTTTTCCTCATTTGCTGCTGAAGGGGTGGGAGTGTTACCAGCCCCAGGGTAGCACTCTGAGGCAAACAGGGGGTGTGTAGTGCATACATCTGTTGATGATACTGAGCCTTTCAATCTCCCTCTCCCTGCTTTTTCATACTGTCTGCAAACTTGACGGGGAGGGAGCCAGCAAGGGGCTGATAACACAGCATTATCAGTCCATCAACAAAAAAACCTCTCTCGTTAGTTCAAGCTCTTCTTAAACAACTTTTTCCAAAGAAGAAACAGACAGACATTACCAGCAGAACTGGTGATTAGCTCCAAAAAGCCCTAAGTAAACACTGGTCTGTCTGCCTGTCCCAGTTAAATTGAAAACACACTCATACCTACCTCCCAGCATTAGCTAGCATACCACATGCCTGGGGTCTCTGGGGCTGGGGTCCATGCTATGGGAGATGGGAGAGGAGGGATCCCTGCTTGAGCAGCAAGTGGCGGGGGGGGGAGCCAGGCAGACCCTGCTGTGCCTGCAGTCTCCACTGGGACCAGCCCTGTTCTCTGGAGTATACCGCACAGCCCAGGGCTGCAAAGCATCTGGGATGCTGGAGGACTCCAGTTTAACTTAAACCAGGAAGGGGTCTGGGACAGATATTGCATAAACTGGTTTGATCCAAATCAGTTAAGTCTGATACTACATTCAACCAGATTTATCTTAAACCAGTTTCAGCCATTTTGAAACTGGTTTATGTGCACTGAACATATGTTCTCTTACAGGTTTAAACCAGTTTCTGATCACTTAACCCAGTTTCTTTGTACTGTCTTTCCATAGCCTTTAACTAAAGCTCGTTTAACACACTTTAGTTAAAGCACCACCATTTTGAAGCGTGGGGATGCTAAATACACGTGATGCTGAGGCTGCTGAAGCATGCTAATTAGCATGCTCCTACAGACTCAATTAATCAAGTCTGCTCCAACATGTGCTATTTAGCATGTGTCAGAGCAGGCATCAGGCATGTCTATAGGTGCCCTTTCGTTGGCTCAGATACATTTAGAGACCTAGAGCAGACAGCTTTATAATCAGGTAAATAACATACCCATTGGACCATGGGATTGTAGCTTGACTGTCCTCTTCCAAAATGTCCTTTCATGTTTTTGAAACAGGTAAATTGCGTAATAAATCTTCTCTTAGCTTCTCTGTGTTGCAAAACTTGCTCTGTGCATTCTTTGCAGCTGCATTTTAAATGCAGGACTCTCTATAAGGGAAAAACTCAAGCTGAGGCACACGCAAATCTTACTCATGGAGGAAATTTTAAATGCTGTCAGAGTTTTCCCTTTTTCATCAGTAACATCTCCTGCCATTTTTGCTTCGGAGGACGTCTCTATTTCTAGTGTGAATCACTTCCAATAATCAAAATGAAGGCACACGAGATTTGTATAGCATCATCTTGGAAGCAATGCAAGTTCCATAAAAGAGATATGCTTTAAGGTGGCACTGTGTGCTGCAGGGTCAGATTGCAGATACATGACAGATTCAGTCAGAAGGCCCAAGTGTCCACCAGTTTGGGAAGGGCTGGCCTAGATGCAAACCTCACCGGTTACACCTCTGGTAGGGTAGGCTCCATATTATATGAATCCAGATGAAATTTTACCAGGACACAGCATATCTGGAAAAGGCACCCAATTTGTGGACTGGTATTCACAGTCGCTCCCTAACATTTGTGGCAAGCATCATCCTGGTTGTCCCTAGAGACTGAAAGTAAGTTACCATAGCTGGATCTAAAGAACAATTTACAGATCCAAAACATGTAGCAGAGTCAGCTTTTCTGAATGAGGCAGAAAAGAGAGTGCGAGCATGCCGGCCATTATGCAGTAGATCCCCAATCCATACCTACTCTCTCTTCGTCTCTCTCAGATTTTGTAAATAAAAAGGAATCCTGACTTTGGCTCAAGATAATTTCTTTCCCACCTTTACTTGGATTATTGCTTGGCTTGGAAAAAAAATCTGCTCATCCAACACTTGACAGCCATTACACTTACAGGCAAAATTCACTTCTCTGGCTGCTGTCCCTAGCATATCACCAGTGTTTAGCCAAATGAACCCCAAGGGTTATAAACACAAAGATGCTGGTGACTGTGACAGGCAGAAAGAAATATGCTGCCAGGGATTAATTTGCAAGTTCTATTTCACAGCCTGCACCTGGTTTCCTGTTCAGGGAGGCTGCCTACACCTGCTAGCCACCCTCTTTTAAGGTGCAAGAGCTCTCAAAACTTTTCATCTCTCTTTCTTCCTCCTGACTGCCAGCCAAAGGTTCTAATAAAAGACACTTTTTAATTGCAACAAAAATAAAAGTCCTCTTTTATGTGCAGTCATCAATTTAAAAACATAAGCAAGCTTTGTCAGGTGCTGTTCTGTTCCCTCTATGTGGCACTTCACTACTTAGCAGGCACAATGCAATTGCTCCAAAGGAGACAGTACCCAGAGGATATATGGAACGGTCTTGGGGGGATCTCCATTGCAGCCTGCTTGCTGTGACGCATCTTCTGTGCTGCCCAGTGATGTGTCCTCTGCATGGTGCTGGGGGCACCTTTGGAAAACTTCCCCATCTGCAGCTGCCAGAATCTCTCTTGGATGCCTCATGAAGGAGAGGCAGTATGATGACTGTACTGAAATGGCTTTGCAAGGGGGCCCAGATCCCCTTGTGCTGCACACACATGGCACTGTGGGAGCACAATTTGTTTCTCATCAGTGTTGTCAAAATGGAATATTCTCAAAATTTCCAATCTGTGAGAAATTTCACAATGACATTTCCCACAAGCTAAATGTCCTGGTTTTTGGCCAGCCCTAGCCCTGCTACATTTACAAGGCAGGATATATGCTTTCACTATATAATACAAACAGTCATCTGTATTCCTTGGCTGCAAATGGCAGTATTGTAAGGGAGCAAAGGACACTACGATGTTGTTGGAGAAGAATATGAATTACCTCTCAGCTTCAGAACAAAGCGCAGAAGGACTCTTGAAAAGGGCAAGAATCTGCAGAACAGCATTGCAGGCAGGTCTCTGGACCTTTATAGTTTAACTGGGAGGCTTCACACTTCTGAGAAAAAAAGTCTCATTTGAATGTTATCATTGGCAAAGCACTAAACTGCTTCTAGGACTTAAGCTGTTTACTCATTTAAGGCCAAGAAGCACAGACAAGAGTTGTTACCTGAAAGCTAAAAATCCTGGAAGAAGAAAGATGCGAATTAGGAACAAAGCACTGATGAGTGAGTGAACACTTCTGATACCAGCAAGGGTACGGGAAGGTCTCTATGAAGAACGCAGCTCTTGTACCATTAACTGACAGACTGTTAAGTCTTCATAATGTCCTCAAAACAATGAATCAACAGAAGACAGATGTGTGTTTTAGCAGGATGCTCAGAAGTGCCTGCCAATTCCCTAACCTAGAGCATGCTGAAACCAAGAGGGAAAACTTCAACTGATAGAAATTAACTTTGGATAGGGTCCCAACTGTCTCCTGTTCCAAAAAAAAAGGCATTACATACTTAGATCCAGGTGTCTTATTGCTTTGCTTCACATGAGTCATCTATTATCATTGCAGTCCTTGAAATTAAAGAGGGATTTGAGTTGCTCGCATAGTTTGTTCCCGGAGGGTTCCGAAAATGAACTGAGAAGCAAATCTGAATAATAAGCCCCAACGACATAGATGATAACTCTGGCCAGCTACAGTTACAGCAGGGAAATGCCCTGGGAATGAACACGTTCGAAGGTTTATAACTGATGCAGACAGAAGGCGACATTTATTTTTCCCCAAACATCAGCCCATTGGCAGACTCCACAGTCTTATAACAAGGTGATTTTCAGGAAGCTGCTAGCAGTCTGCGGGCGCTGCAGGGTTGGCCCCCGCGAACACCCTGCGCAGAGCTGGCACCCACCGACATCCACGTACAAGACGTGTTGGGCGCTGACTGCGCAGACGTGGCCTTGTTCTCTTCAGCATCAACCCCCATTGAATCCGTTCTGGTCTTCTGAAGTCACATCCAAAACGTCACTTGGGGGCTTATCTGATCATAAACGGTTAGGGACGGAAGGAGCTTCCTTTGGCTTCCAGTTTGGACAGGACAGCCTGCGTCACGGGGCGTTGCGGGTACGTGCGAGGGTCAAGGGGGCAGTAAATGAAGGGGCTCGACGCCGCCCGTGCCCCAGAAGGGTGACAGCAACGGGGGCGCAAAAAGCGCATTGACTCTGGAAACGTCAAATGCCGCGAGTGACTCCCCACCTCGTCCCGCCCGCGGGCGCTGCTTTCTAGGATCTCGAGATTTGGAAGCAGCCGGGGCGGCCGCCCTCCTGCCCGTCACAAAAATGGCGCCGGCTGCACTGCCTCCGCGGTGGTGCCAATGTTGCCCCGCAAC